GCTGTTGATTTCCAGAAGATCTCCCCCACATTTTCAGCCTGCAAGTCCACACATTATCTTCCTCCCTCTAGTAACCCCCATAATAAGCACAGTGCTCCGTACAGCCTTTAGGAAGATTCCTCCAGTCTGACTGTGAGACAACAGGCAATTTTCAGAGGCTTCACAGAGTGCAGAGCACTCAGTACAAATAGTGCTTAATCCCTGATGACTGGAAATGTAGGAAGGTGGAAGACAACTGTGAGAAGCAGGAACTCCTGCAAAATGTGGGGGACTTGGCAGCCTTGTCTTTCTTTATGTCTACTGTGTTATCCTTAGAGAACAGAATTGAAGGAAAACATATGAATGTGCTAACGCTGAAATTATTAGATGTGAGACTTTGCTACTGGCTTACTTTTTTGGGTTTTGAGCTTCAACTCTTAATGTTGGTTTATTGTTCTGTTGTGTTTAGACTGTAATACAATTGTCATCAGGGATTTTATCCTTATATTACAGTGTCCTAGAACTACTCCAAAACTCTGTCTATAGAATTACTTCTGTGTTACTAGTGTCATGCTGGCCAGAACTATTGCAGTAACATCTGAATAGCATTTGATTACCATTGCTTTATATCTGTTCATTAGGAACCGGACTGAGACTACCAAGATTTCACTCAGACCATTATACAAACATTACAAAATAACTTCTGGTCATTACTGATCTTGGCCAGATTTGAACCCATAATCTTAGTGTGGAAGGCTCTGCAGCCCAATAACCAATCACCTGTATTACCCTCAGTCCTCTAGTACAGTCTCCCTTAAAACATAGTTATTCCATAAGGGAAAAATAAAAAAATGCAAACTACTGATAACCATTCACTTTTTCTATCTCAAAAAGAGAGAGAAGGGATACTTTCAATATGAGACTCCTTTGTATACAGTACCCGTCATGACCTCAAGGCTGTACTATTGTGCTAATAATTTAAAACTGTTCTTTACAGTACACATCTCCAGTACAGTCAAATTCCCTAGTATTTGTCAGTACCAGTGGGAAGTCTTATACAGATACTGTACCATTTAAATAAGGAAATATGGAACTCATTAAAAAGCTGGTGAAGTGACCTAAAATGTAGCAGTTCCAATTAGTGTAATATAATTACAGTACTGACCTACTTGGTTAGACGTAACACAAAGCAATAATTTCATTAATAAGAGCCTAAGTGAAATGCCATTTGGGTAAATAAATGTTATCTTGCCTATGAAGGCGGATATTTATATTTCTTTCCTGACTGTGAACATTAAGAATAAGCATTGAAACTGCATTATATCTTCTTTATTAAGAAAGGAACATGGTCCCAGATTTTCAAAGGTATCATTTACATACCTAAATATGCAGAGAGGCACCTAGTGGGATTTTCAAAAGTGCCCAGGCAGTTATCTATATCTTTAGATACCTAAATAAAAAATTGACCCATGATCACTTTGACATATTAGATATTCCATAGGGATTCATTTAATTTCCTTTTATGACAGGGCATGACTCACCACTGCAGCACCTCCTGCTGGCTGTCCTGGGAATTAGCTCTGGTTCACTGGTGCGCCCTCATCTAGTGGCATCTCACCACCGTCGCTTCTGCCATCAGGACCCGTTTTGCTCTCAGGACCACAGTGTCCTCTTCTGGACACAGCTCTCCAGCTGTGCCCCATTTGGTTCTCTCCCCTGCCCCCTTTTGTGGGGGGGCAGCAGTCCTCTGTCCAGCCACTTGCCTCAGTGGCAGGTGGCAGTCCAGGGTCTAGCCACCTTTGTCAGTGGCAACTGGGACCAAAGGGGCGGGGGGGAGAGGGTCCAGCAGTCACACACTGTGTCACCTCTAACCCCTGCCATCTGTTTCCCTGGGCCATTTCCCCACAGCTCTAGCACCTTCTCCGCCCTTGTATCCAGGCCCCAGTCTGGCAGCAGTCAGCCGAGAGCTCACTCATGCTCCCCTGACCCACCCAGCGCTGCTCTGATCATGGTGCTGCCTCTTCTCCCTCCTTCAGGGCAGCCAGTCCTCCCTCCTCAACTCTAGGGAATGACTGAAGCTTCTATGTTCAGCAGCCCTTCTTATATGGTCCAGTCTGGCCCTGCCTGGCTGTCTCTCTAACTCTTCTCCTGATTGGCTGTCTCTACAAGCCCTTTCCTAAATGGCTGCCTCCTGCGCAGCCTCCCCGGCGCTGCTTTACCCCCTCTTCTGCCAGTAGGGGCAGACGCCCCATCACACCTTCCCTGTGATGATTCAGCATTAGATACAGAATCAGCAGCTAGAGAAGAACAAGTAGAGAGGATCCTCTATGCACATTGTTAGATGTCACATTCTTCAGCACTTCCAATACATTTTATTTATTTATTTTAATAGCCCGTTGTCTGAGCCTCTGGTTGCATTTACATTAATATATCATCATTTATAAGACCTTTAACAACATACTGCCAACAGCTGGAAGAATCAAAAGACAATCCCTCAGATCTTTATTCCATATTGCATCATAAAATACACAAAGTCAAAGCAATTCTTCCCAGACCTTTCCAGAACCATCCTTTAAATCAAACCCTTTATTGAGTTGATCTCAGGGGAAAGGCTGAGCAAACAAAGAGGCTCTAACACCTTGCTCTTAAGTTCAACAAACTTGAACACTGGTAATGCAGAATAGGGATCAGTTCCAGAGTCATGAACACTCCAGAGAAAATGACTTGCCTCCAGGCCACCCAGAATTCAAACACTTTTATCAAAAACACCTTGGCTGATCTCAGCTCTTAGAAGGGTACATACATCAGGGAGAGAGACGAATTAAAGCAGCCAGGATGCTCAGCATGCATGGTTTTATAGATTAGCACTGATGCCTAAAACTGTATGCATAGAGACTCAGATTTTCAAAACTGTCTAGGAGATTTGGATGCCCAACTGAGGTGTCTTGATTCCTCCCCTGCGCGGGCGGGGGTTGAAAATCCCACTCAGAAGCAATTACAAAGCCAATAGGATATACAGAGAACAGGTATAATGTGCTCAATGCAACTTTCATTGCTAATTAAGCAGGTTGCTGAGTTTTGCACCAGTTGAAGATTCCCTGTTGGGTGGCCCCAGGAAGAGATGACGAAGGTATGGATAACTATATGGGCAAGACCATAGCCAAGAAAAAAGATAGCAACTCCCTAGACAAGCATAGATATAACACAGTGTGATTCCAGTCCAGAGCAATTTAGGGTCCAAACAACGCCTGAGGTGTAAACCTCATTGACAAAGGGTGAGTATACCCTGTACAGAGGGAGCATACACCACCTCATCCAATTTACTTAGAAGGTTTCCACGCCCATTGGTGTCACCTCCATCTAGCCTGGAGTGAAATTCAGCCAACTCATCTTCATCAGTGCCTCATCTCAGGGAAGCACAAGGCCGTACCAGCCAGGTCTGATTGGGAAAAAAAAGCATAGTGCTGATGATAAACATGCTGTTGTAATTGCCACGCCAGTGGCTCTCAGTCTCACCGTGTTCTTCAAGGAAGGACAGTCCCATGCTTGTCATGAAATCTTTGAGATCCTGAGTCGATGTACAAGTGTTCTTAACCCCAGGGACAGTGAAGTTAACGTAGGTAACTCCAGTGCCAGGCCAGACAAGGATATTTTCAGCTGGGGAGGGTGACTTGAGGTGCAGCAGAGCTGTCCGTATATCAGCATAACTCTGCATGCAATACTATTAATTGCTTTTTCATTCCAGCTGATGATTTGTTACATGTTGCACTAACTGTGTCAAGAGAAACATACTTTTTTAGGACACATGGAAGTCCTATGTTGTCCAAGTCTTAATGCGATGTCTTTGGGCTCACGTCGCTATTTAGCTTTCATCGTTATATGATATTTATGTTTTGTTTATCACTCATTAACTGGCTGACTTTGTACTACTACAGCAAAGAGCAATCTGCTGCAGCTGGGTTTATCTAGTCCATTGATATTTATGATGACTCATTTTCCCTTTGTTTGCAATTACACACTTCGTCCAAAAATCTGCTCCTAAATATATATCTACACAGTTAGGACATTAGTAATGTTGTGCATCATTATTAATTTGGTATATAGACACTTGTTACAAGCCATCGGAATCTCTTGTGTGCGTAGAAAGGGGTCCCAAATTTCATCCTTTTCTGACCTGCTGCAGTTGAGCCTCAGTGAATTATAAGATTGAGGTTCAAATGCTGACTGATGGAAATATATATCCTGATGTATCATTACAGGCATTTTCAAGTGATGCTTGCTTTGTAGTTCAGTTCATTAGCAAAGTAGTATATGACCATTTCAGCATACTCATTAGACTTCTCCTCAGAGAATAATCCTGCACTGCACCCAAATTGCTTCTCATGAACTATAAAAATCAAAACAATATGACCACTGATTAATAGAACTATTGGCCTCTAGCCAGATGTTCCCATCTTTTAGGAGCCTCTTCAAATTTTGTTTTGTTTTGTTAAGAGAGTCAAAATTCTTATTTGAGGAAGCAATGAGAGACAAGTGCATGTTAAGCAAGAAACATGCAGGCAGCACTATATCAATTGAACATGTTGAATGAACCATTAAACCTGATCAGTTGGTTCAGATACGAATTTGAACATTGATTTTTAGAATTACATGCATGGGCAGAGGACCAAATTGGCCATGCGCCATCTGTTTTTCTTCACTAAAGGAAAACGTTCCTGAGTAGGGGGAGAAAATATCTGCAATACATGCCAAAGCTTGCAGTATTTACTCAGGAAAGTTCCAATTGAGTCAATTGGAATTTTGCCCTGAGTAGGAACTTCAGGATCTGGATTTATGCTCATGTACATTTGACTATTCCATTATTCAAATTAATAGTAGAAGTGTGTTCAAATGGGAATTGTTTTATTTTTAGCAAGGAAAGTGACAAGTTCTTGGCAATCATCTAAAGATGAGAAAACACTGTGTACAACTGATGAATAATAAATATTTTATGGGGATTTTTTTCTTCGCTTTTTTTACAGGAAGAAATCTTTTCTGTTTTCAGCTCTATACGCTGCCTTTATATTTGGTGGTCGGCACCTAATGAACAAACGAGCAAAATTTGAACTGAGGAAACCACTAGTGCTCTGGTCCCTGAGCCTTGCAGTCTTCAGGTAGGCCTTTTTTAAACAGCAAGGAATTGTTTGTATTAGTTTATTAACTGGGTTAAAAGAGATACAGCCATAACAAAAGTATCAAGATGACAAAAAGCTGTACCTGAAGAAGTATTTCTTTAGTTGTATCATTTAATGTCTTTGAGTCCTCCAACCTCCCCTCACCCCAAAATAGTCCTATTTTGCCTGTCACATCATAAGCATCTTAAGAAGAGGAAACTAATAGCCAATCTCTTCAAGAGTAAGGTGGGAAGTGATAAATCAGAAAATTACTTTGTATAATTGTGACAGCCAAACTTTCCTATTGATCTACATTTATATGGTTGTGTTATTAGAATCTTTAGGCCATGATTTTGATCTGTTACCCTGATGTAAATCTGGAATAAGTTCGTTGACATCAGTGAAGTTACACTGGTGGACTGAGATCAGAATCTGGCCCTTGGGTTATTCCAAGAAAGTAAAATAAAGAATTTGTGAATGCAAAAGAGGATAAGAGGAAGTGGGAAATAATCTTACTCTGCTGTGACCTGCCTCCTCTGAGCTTGATCTTGCCCCATTCAAGTCAGTGGCAAAACTCTCATTGAGAGCAAAGACAGGCCGTTTGTCACCTATTTGACACAGCTGTGAGTCTGACTGATCTTCATTACAGCTTTCCCCTAATATCCCTTCCAGCTACACATGGTACCAACTCAATTCACCAACCACAGTCAGCTAATGTACAGAGAAACTAGGGATTGTGAATTCCGAGTAGCACAGATTTCGGTGTTTATAGGGAACATGTGTTATAATTCACTATGCAGCATGAAAACAATTTGTAAACCAATATCAAAGGCCACTGATAGCTGCATATATTTCTAAATCCATGGATTATTCATTATAGCAGTTCACACCCACGATTCAGGTTTGCAAAGTGAACAGAGATGTCAGTAGTACACTGTGGCTGGTTTGCAAATTATGTCACAGACTGTTAGTTTGAGATTTTGTCTGCACTACGATAAAATGGTGTGGGTTTTTTTGTTTTTTGTTTAAATGTTGGCAAGTTTTGACTAACAGTCTAAAACCTAGTTTAGAGAGGGCAAGGTGTACTTTAGATTGACTCAACCAGCTAGCCTGTGCTTGCCTGTGCCTTGTCTGCACTAGAGCTTTATAACCTGTTAGTTTGAACGTGCTAGCTAAGATGGTCTTAAACAGTGTTGCCCAAACTCTTTACTAAGGTGACCCACCACTGCATTTTATCTTTTGTTTGTGACTCATGATTACGTAGTTACATATATGCACCTCTGCTCCGGCACTGCAACCCTAATCCCAGCTGGGGGTGCTGAGGGTGGGAGAATGGAGAGCAATCCCACCCCACGCTCACCCCACAATGGCAGTTCCTGTCTCATGTGGCTGGGCCAGCTCCCCAGTCCAGGTCTGGCCCACTCTCCACTCAGGTTTGGCCCAGCCATCCCTCCATCATTGGGGGACAGCCAGGTCAAATTTGAGCAAGTGATATTGCCACCTGGTGCACAAGGTCATAGGGGTGGCCAGACCAAACCTGAATGGCACTGTGACTCCATGCACCAGGTCCCAACGCCCAGTGGAGAGCCAAGTCCAGCCCCATGGGACAGGAGCCACTGCTCCAGGGTGAGTGCAGGACAGGCTCTACTCCGCCCTCCCCCACCCCGGCCCAACACTTGTAGCCTCTTCTTGTGATAGGCTGGGAGAAGCATGTGTTTGCCTAGGCCAGGGCCCAGTGATCAACTGGTTAACCCAGTCCTGGACATGCCAACCAATCTAGAACCGTTCTGTGACTCATTGGTGGGTTAGGACCCACTGTTTAGGAAATACTGTTCTTAAAATAATGATCTTTTGCCTGGTGAAGAAAAGTCTGAGTGTCCTGACTAAATTCTACTTTAAGTTCTTACATTATGTCTATGTATAATTTTCCGATAGCTTCAATTAGCACTGCATTCTCCACCTCCTATCCTACCTGGACCCATAGGGTTGCCGGGCACCTGTTAGCATTTGCTGTACTTTATCCCAGAAGTGGCTGAATATCAGTGATGGGTGAACTCGTTCCTAGATGGTATTCAGTTTGTAGGTGTTTGTAAAGTGATTTAGGATCCATTTGGATGAAAAACACACGTAATTACAATTCTGTTTCCAATAAAATATAGCCGTTAGTGGTTGGCTGCCTTCTGTAACATTGTGTTAGCTTAATTCCCAATTTGAGAAAGTGTAGTGCGATTTCATAACTGTCTTTGAAAAAGGTCACCAAGACGATTTAAAAAAAAATTGCATTCAATGCAGATTGGCCCCAGGCTGACATGTGTTGAAGTAAATATATAGTAATGATGACCTGATACAGGTTTTAAAGCTTTTTTTATTGAGGGTTCTCTGAACATAAATAATATACTCCACTCAGGAGTATGAACATCAGAAATGTACTTTACATTTAGTAAATGATCTCAACATGGGGCTAAAACATCCAGAAACTGAAACTAGTGCAAAATATGCTAGTCCACTTGGTCAGCGGAGTATCTTGCTACAAGCTATTAAGCCCGTGCTCTGTGATTTGCATCAGCCACCTGCAGATTTCTGGGTGAAGTTTTAAGGTGTCGGTTTGACTTCTAAAGCTGTAGGTGGGCAGGACCTACCTGCCTACTTCTCTCCATGGCCATGCTGCCTCAGTTGAGATCAGCAGAGGCACTTGAGCTGGCACCCCATCAGTGTAAGCAAGAAGAAGCAGTTGTCAGGGCATTCTCTGAGAGGGAAAATTTTGCTTTGGAATTTGCTTCCTCTTCCTTGCACTCCACCGTCTAAATAGCTCAGTTCCAATGACCTTCAGGATACATTGCAAAACTCATCATTTTTCCTGCATGCTGGAAAGTGGGAGGGGGGGGGAGACTGCAAAGGTGGGCAATTGTTGGGTAGGGAGAGAGATCTGAGTTTTTAAGTTGCCTGGGTTACTGGTAGAGTTATATTAAAATGTATGGCTGCCCTTAGGAAGGACTTTTTTTAGTTTAAGATGTATGCCCTAGTCTAAAACTAGCTGTAGATGCTAGAGCATCTTAACTATGTGATGCAATTACACTGTATAGGATGAAAGGGGGAGAGGGAGAAAGGAGATCAACATCTTATGAAAAGAAAATATAACTATAAGGTTGATTTTGAGCAGAACAGGTTGGGATTTTTCCATTGGAATAATTTGCTGACAGAAAATGCTGTTTTTGCAAAATTGAAAATTTTCTGCAAAAAATATCAATTTTGCTGAAAAAATTCAGTTTTCCATGGGAGGATCAAACTGATGGCTCTCCAATTCCAATTTCACTGTCCGTCTGCAGGCTTGCCAGGGCTGAGTTTCGGCATCTCTAGGCTTGGCAATTCATAGCCCCAGTACCTCTGGGTTTGCTGCATCCGTTACGAATGTAAAAAAAATTGCTTGAAACCTAGTTGCTTGAGCCCCAGCACCTCTTTTATTACAAATTAAGCACTGTGCCCAGCTCTGGGACCACAGAGTCTGAACACCCCAGTGCTCTGCCTCTCCACCCGGGATGGGGGGCGGGCACTGAGCAGCCGGGCTCTTTGCTTCTCTAGCTCCCTGAGCTGCATTGCCCTTGTTTCGCCTCTCCCACAGCTGGTCTGGAAGGCTCTTGTCAGTTTCGCTGGACAGGAGCTGTCCAGCAGGCAGCTAGGCAGCAAAACAATTCCATTTTGATTCTCCCAAAAGAGAATTTTTCTTGAAATCCATTCCCATGAAAATGTTCATTTTTCACTTTTTTATCCTAGTCCAGGACTAACTCCCCCGCTTCTAAAAAAACAGCAACACTAAAACACAAATTATTGAGAGCTTAATGAGAGTTCATTAATTTGGTCAAGGGTGAATTTTAGAATAGAAATGTAGGGCTGAAAGAGACCTCGAGAAGTCATCAATTCCAGCCCCTGTGGCAAGGACTAAGTAAACCTAGGCGATCTCTGACAAGTGTTTGTCCAACCTGTTCTTAAAAGCCTTCAAGGATGGAGATTCCACAACCTCCCTTGGAAGCCTATTCTAGGACTTAACTATCCTTATAGTTAGAAAGTTTTTCCTAATATATAACCTAAATCTTTATTGCTACAGATTAAGCTCATTACTTTTTGTCCTGCCTTCAGTGGATGTGGAGAACAATTTATCAGCATCCTCTTTATAACAGCCCTTAACATATTTGAAGACTGTTAGTGGATCCCCCATTTTGCAAGACTAAACATGCCCATATTTTTAACCTTTCGTCATAGATTTAGAAAAACCTCTTATCATTTTTGTTGCTCTCTTTTGGACTCTCCAGTTGGTTCACATCTTTCCTAAAGTGTGGTGCCCAGAATAGGACACAGAATACTCCAACTGGGGCCTCACTAGTGCTGAGTAGAGTGGGATAATTACCTTCCATGTGTGACATACAACATTCCTTTTAACGCACCCCAGAATGATATGCACAACTGCATCACATTGCTGACTCATTGAATTTGTGATCCACTATAACCCACCTAATTATTCCCCATTTTCTAGTTGTAGATTTGATTTTCTTTCTTCCTAAGTATAGTACATTGCACTTGCCTTGACTGAATTTCATCTTGTTGATTTCAGACCAGTTCTCCAATTTGTCAAGGTCATTTTGAATCCTAATCCTATCTTCCAAAGTGCTAGCTACCCTGCCCAGCTTGGTGCCATCTGTACATTTTATGAGCATGCTTTCCACTCCCTTATCCAAGTCATTAATGAAAATATTGAATGGTACCAGATGCAGGACAGATCCTGTGGCACCCCAGTAAATGCATGCTCCCAGTTTAACAGCAAACCATTGATAACCACTTTCTGAATACGGTCTGTCAACCAGTTGTTCACCTGCCCTATAGTAATTTCATTTAGACCACATTTCCCTGGTTTGCTTATGAGAATGTCACATCATGTCAAGCCTTACTAAAACGAAGATATATCACATCTACTGCTTCCCCCCATCCACTAGGCCAGTAAACCTGTC